GTGTGTGTGTGTGTGTGTGTGTGTGTGTGTGTGTGTGTGTGTGTGTGTGTGTGTGTGTGTGTTGGGGGGAGATATGATAGAAGTCTATAAAATAATGACTAGTATGAAGAAGGTTTAAAACAAAGTTCTGTCTTGTGTAGTATATAATTGACTTGTGGCACTAATTGCCACAAAATCTTTAAAAAGTCTAATGATTTAACCAGGTTTAAAAGAGGAATAGGTCCATCAGTAGTTATTAAACATCATAACAGGGCTGTAACATACAAATTAGGACTCTGTAGGCATCTAAATGCTGGAAGTTGTAAAGGAAGAGGGAGGGACAGGTTCATCTACATTAGTCTCTGCATAAATACTCTTCCCCTTAGCATAACTGTGAGAGATGGGATCCTGGGTTAGATGGACCAGTCGTCTGACCCAGTATGGCATTTCTAATATTCTTGTTCATTTTGAAGGGAGCTTTGGGTGCCTATACATGAGCTGGGAGGCTGCTCCAACATGCTGCAATTACAGTGCATCACAGCAGACTCAGTCAAGTCTGCTGAAGCATGGTAATTGCCACACACTAGCCAGCCTCCGTGTCTCATGTATCAGTGTCTCTGCACTTCAGTGTGGAGGCAGGGGAGCTTTAAATAAAGCTCATTCAACCAGCTTCAAATAAAGAACCCCCATCACCATTTTGAAGTGTGGGGACGCTGATACACAAGGTGCTCCAGGCACTTTAATTAAAGCAGCTCTCAGAGTCTTGGCCTCCAGGGAAGGCAGGATGAGGAAAACACCACTGGCTGCCCATCCCACTTGAGAAGAGGGTCTGGGCAGCCTTGGGTCCAACACGATCAGGCTTTCAACTTTGATGAACAGTAAGAGTGGAAAAAGAATTAAAGCAGTATGAAACTGTACCATTGCAAGAAGGGATCCATCCCTTCTTACATATTTTCTGCATCTTCATATCTACAACAACACTTTAACCCTATTTTTTAAATATTTTTTTAAAGATGTCCTCTGTAGGGATAGCTCCTCAGCTCACACTAAAAGGACATCTTTTACAAATGTTATTCTGTTTTTCTTTTCAGCTGGAAAGACTACAGTCTGAGAATGCCTCTGAGTGGGGAAAGAGAGAGATGCTTGATGCAGAAAAGCAAGAGCTGAAGAGAGAGAATCGAAGGTTGAAGGCCCAGGTGAAAGAAATTCAGGAACTGGTGGACAGGAAAAATGAACTTGCACCAAGCAACATGGGTTCTGATACTGAGATGGCACAAAGTGAACTTCTGAAGAAAAATAAGGTATGAACTTTAATTGTCACAATCATTTGGGGAAATACATCTGCATAACAGCTGAATTTGGATTGACACAAAATGTTACTATGAAAACAGCTATATTACAACATACCTCTGTGTATCTGCACCCACCATAGGCTAGCAGAAAGATTTATTTCAGCCCAGAGGCAATGGTGAGATGATGGAACTCAACAACTGGCTATTCAATGTATTTGCTTAGCCTGGGAGAAGGTACTTTACTCCTCCCATGTTTCAGAATTGACAGTGAAATGGGTAGATGAGAGTGAAACCTTAGCAACAATAAAGAAGGAATATAGATGACTAAATAGAGTTTTAAAAGGTCTTGGAAAGGAGGACTGGCTTTTTGTAGCAGATGGGGCCTGGTTTAGCTGGGAGGTTGACCAAATTCAGGTAAGAAAAACCATTGGTTTACTGCCAGGCTGCCTTAATGAATACAGGTGACTATATACAGACTTCCAAGAGAAGGATGAGCTAGATATGGGCCTTATGTTTAGGAAGATTTCGTTCTTTCTCAATCTGTTTACTCTTGGGTCTTGTGCTTTAACTGAACGTAAATTTTATGCAAAAGCTTTTTGTATCCAAATATGTTACATCTGCTATGTTATTTCTGAAGAATTAATATACATACCAGAACACACATCATTAATGAGAATCTGGGAAAATATTTTTAAATTATGGCAGATGTTTGAAGTCAGGATTGGATTCTGTAGATGTGCAATTTGACAGAAAGGTGCAGCTCTTAATAGGGAATGCAGAGGAAGGGTCCTCATTGATGTGCCTAGGAACCCCTCCATAGAGGAATGTCTGGAGGTGTTCAAGACTGCATGGGATCCAGTGACTGGCTCCTTCAAGAACCATTTAGGCAGTGAAACAGTTGGCCAGAACAGTAGAAACAGTTGGCCAGATGTTGCTCTTAACAGGGGAGCCTGACTCATGTCAGAGAAGCTCTCAGACTTCAGCAAAGTTTGGTATAGATGCACATCCTGCAATCATGGGTATTCCCTTTAAAATCCATGAGACTTGTTCATGCATCAAGTTATGAGTGGCCAAGTGTCTGAAGGACTGTGGCTCTAATGTATTACTTGTATCAAGGTCTCTGGTTAGTCAGGCCCAGCCAGTCCAAACTCTTGAGCTTCCACACCTGATCTTGATCCCTGGGTAATGTGACTGCCCCATTACTCTGGGACTGGATTGGCTGCTGAGTGCACCACCCAGCCCTTTTAAGCACACTTGCAGCCTCAGGCTGCAGCATAATTTGATGACAGCCTCAGTCTACTCTGCAAAGCATCGCATTCACTGCTATTTCTGGCTCTTCATTTAGCTTTGGTTTTCCCTGCTCTTGGATCTTCCCTGGAACTCGGTACTGGCTCTATGTTTCCTCTGACTCCTCACTTGGCTTCAGCTTTCTCTCTTATCCTATTCTTAGATCTTCTCTGGAACTTGACACCCAGCTCTCTGATTCTCCTGGCTTCTGACCACAGCTTGCACCCCGGTCTATGTCTCTTGGGGTGTCTTTACACGTGCTTCAAAGGTGGGAGAAGGCACTTTAATTAGAGCATCTCTCAGGAGCTGCTCTAATAAAAGTGCCCGTAGCATTTCATGTATTCAGCATCACTTCAAAATGGTGGCAGGGGCAATTTAAATAAAGCACACTTGATGAGTAAGCTAATTAGCATGCTCCAACAGACTTGATTAATTGTATCTGCCCCAATGCTTTGTAATTAGAGTGTGTTGGAGCAGGTGTCCTGTGTGTCTACAGGCCCCTGCTCCACTGACCCAGATCCACCCTGATGCCTCAGTAACCTGCACCCTGACCCAGCTGACCTCCTAATTGCCCTTCAGGGACTGAACTCTTACAGCTTAGCTTCACTTTTCATTGGATGACAAACTCTGTGTACCAATTCTCTGTTGGAGGTAATTATTCCATAAAACATAATAATGGTGTAATCTGTCTCACAAAGAGGTACAGGTGTGTGCCTGGGTAGCTCAATTCAATGGGAGGGTACAAACCAGCTTGATTTATTTATGCATATAAACATACAAACAGTAAATTGTAACCCAGCATGGAAATCTGATAACAAAATTATCCCTCCAGATATTTTGTTCCAGATTTTCAAATGATTAAACCTCTGCTTAAAGATATACTTTTCTTTTTTCATAATATTAGAATAACTTCTATATAAGTTATTTCTTTCACACTATGATATTGAAAAATCTCATTTTAATTATATTCTGTGGTGACTAAGAAACCACAGATTATATTCCTAATGCTCTAGCTTCCTGAAAATCTTTCCATATTATGAGTTACTTTCAAATATTCTAGACTAAGGTTTATTTGAACTGATCAGTACATATGATATTCCTTTGTAGTGAAATGCAGTTTGATGTTTGAAGACCTATTGCTTTTGAGTTGGTGAGTGGGCCAGTTGTGTCCTACATGTTCATATGGTCCTTGCACATGAGTGAGTTCTTTTGGCTAACAGTGGTGGAATTGTTGTTTTCACTATAGATGCTTTTGTACCTTTAACACCAAAGGTCATAAATGGCAGATAAAGCCCCACTATATCTCAATTTCATCTTGCCTCTTGTGGCAGTACAGAAACCCTATACTTCCATAATTAGCATTCCTATGATGGAGCTTGGGTAGCCTTTTACAGGCTTATCTTTCAATATGTCTTATATGCTTTCCATTAGTCTAAATAAGGGAAAATTGAATGCCATCATTTTTAGTGATAGGAGGAACAATGTAAAACACTACTCTGGGTATTGATAACAAACATTACTATCTAAGAAACAGACAGAAACAGACGTAGAACTGTGAGGAAGAATATGATTGTAACTAGGATCTGGATATTTAACTTTCAGTCCATTCCTTGTAAATAAACAGGATTGCATCAAGTATCTGATTCTGTCATCAGTTTATGCTCTTCATGGAAGCAAATGGCAAGAACCTAAATTCCTTCCCATGTGGACACAGAGGCTTGATCAGCATCTTCTTTTTGTATTTGAAGACTCTCATCAATACCCTGTTCAGCCTTCTGTTTTCCAGTCTGAATAATAGCAATTCTTCCAGCTCAAGTAAATAGAAGCCACAGTGAAGTGATTGGGTAGTACTGCTTACTAAGTCTATAATAAAATACTAGTTGTTCTATCAACCTGTACCCGCCTGGCTTCGAACATGTGGTCATGCACCACGCGTCCCTGGATGCTTGGGGTTGTCCGCCGGCCTGTCCCTGTGGTCCTGCCGAGTCGATGTCTCTGACTCGGATAGTCTCTCCCCGATCTCTCCTACCACGACTTTGTATCTTAAACCAGTGGTGGGGTTCGACTATTGGGGTCTCTCATGTATAGGATCACTGGACGACGATCTTCTGTGAGCCTCCACCTCCCCTCTACCTCGCCCTTACACCTTACCTTGGTGAATCCTGATGTTCTTTCGCCAAGCTCCTGATAGTTGAGGCTCCGCGCCCTTTTACCAAGCAGGCTATATGGCAGTTGGGCCAAATGCCCACTTCACCCATCATGCCTCACAGCCATCTAGCCCTACCTGTAACTGTAAACCACCTTTTGGGTTAAACACCACCTGGACTTCTCACCCAGCAACCCTTCCAAAAGTGGGAAACAAAAAAAAATTTAAAAAAATACCAACGATGGAGAAATGCAAGATACTAAGGGCGGCCCTTCACCCCCTTTATCGCATGCTCCCATAGACTGCCCTACCACAACAGGCTCAAGCCCCTAAGACCCCTAGCAAGCCCTAAACTGGGTCTGGGTTAGCCTGTTGGCTATGGCATCCTCCCCTCCACTCTTTATCCAGCCTGTGGGTTTGCTGGACCTTGGTGGTCCCTCTCAGCATGTCTTCCCCACATCTCTTGGTGGGGCAGCTCTATACTGCTGGGGCCCGTCTTCCGCCGCCCTTCCCACTGACCGTGCCCTTCGGCCCCCACCTGGGGTACCTCCTTGAGCCTGTCCGAGCCCTCTACAGTCCCACCTGGTCTGGCATTTTGGCTTCTGCTGACTCTTCTGGCTCTTTGTGGGTAACTCTGGGTCTCAAGCCCCTCCTGCTGTCTTCTGTCCCTGGGTCCCAGCTCCCAGTCTGAACAAGGCGTCTCTGCTCTCTCGCACCCTGCGTCGCTACTGGCAGCGTTCTCCCTGCGGTGGGCTTCACACTCTCCTCCTGTGCTGCAGGAGGCAGTTTCCCATGCTCTTCCCCCTCGTGGGGGCTCCAGGAGAGACCTCCCATCTGGTACTCCTGCTGGTCTTTCCCCGCTTTCCCACCAGCAGCTCCTTTTATATTCCCTGGCCGGTTCCTGCCGTTCGTCTTCTCAGCTGGCTGCAGCTGTATAAAGGCGTGGCTAACGAGCTGCTGAGGTCCCACCGCCATTTCCGGCTCCGCCGCGGCTCCTGCTACAGGTAAGAGTTTTTCTGTTTCCTTTTTCCCCCTTTTTTCTTCCCTGGCCAGCTCCTGCTCCCAGGGTTCCCCCCTGGCTCCTCGGGGTCTGCCCCCTTGTTTCTCCCTGTGACACAACTATTATTACCACCTTCCCCCTCCCAATCTCTCCCCCCACACTCCTTTTAGGTAATTTTTAGTTATGCTGGATATGTTAAGCAACTTAATTTTGAACTTGCACTGCTGGAAGCACACCCCAATGCAAATTGTATAGTACAGAGATTCCCAACCACTGGGCTGCGGCCCACAGGTTGGCTGCCAGATTGTGGCATGAGCCCCCTGCTTGGCCTCCCCATCTGTCTGCTCACACCAGCGTCTTCCACTGGTGATATGCGGGGTTAAAGCTGGGGGGCGGGGGAGCCCCAGGAAGGAGGCAGCTGGCTCTGCCACTCTCGTTCTGGTCTGCAGCACAAAAACGGTTGGGAACCACTGGTTTAGTATACACAATCATTTAAGCTAGCAAATTGTGCACAAGTGCCATGAATAAAAATTAAATGTTATACAACATTGCTATCATAAAGAATTTTGTTTACAA